TTGTTTTTCCAGTATTTCTCCTTGATAGGTATTTGATTCAGTCTCTTCGTTCCATTCGCTTTCGCCACTTTCAATATATTCTATTTCAGCTTCTGTATCTTCAGATGATGATATTTCAGGCATCTTTGGTTTTTTAGATTTTGTTTTACCCTTCTTTTCCTTGGCAAGTTTTTCTTTGATATTTTTTTTCTCGATTCTCTGCTTAGCTTTCAATTCCTTTTCTTCTAAAATTCTTTTTTTTTCGGCGGCTTTTTTTTCATGGTATTCTTGCCATGCTTTGCTCGTTACAGCTGATGGTAATTTTTCTTTTTTCTTCTTAGTTTTCTTAGTACTTTCATTGTCAGGCCAGAAAAGACATTTTTTGAATGGCGATGGAACTGTGACACCTAGCGCATTACTTATTGTGTTTTTTGCAGGAGTTTTTGCAGCCAAAGAAAGGGATCCATCAACCCTGGCTAACGTATCTGACGTTGTAATTTCGATTGAAGAAGTCACTGTACTACCTATCGTTACCCTTGTGTCTTCGATAGGTATTTTTTCAGTCTCTTGAGACGGCATTTCTGACACTGATGGCACTGTGCTACCCAGAATATCGCTTGTTGTATCATTATGGGATTTCGCATCAGATATGGCTTCATCAACTTTTGATGGCGTATTTGGCGTTGGTATGAATGCCACTGTTTCAGAGACACCATCTAGTGCACTGGTTGACGGTGCTATGAGATCAAGTGCACTGCTTACTTTGTCGTTGTCATCGAAGTCTGTTGGCATAACATTTTCTTGCATAATACACGTGTTATTATATAATACGTTATCTGAAGTCGGTGAAGATTCCCTATTTAATGCAGCAGGTGCGGAACTAGATTCTAGCGAAATTGACATTTGCTTGTTGTGTGCCCACACTATATAGAGATTCAAATCTTCATCTAATGCCATGTTTTCGAGAACATTTCTTCCTTCATAATAAAGACTGTTAAATAGGTCTAACTTTTCTTGACCAAAATGTTTTGTAATTTCGGTTTCTAAAAATTGTAAAAAATGGCTTCTTTCTTCATTTTGGTTTTCATTTGCTAGATCAGAAACAGTATTCCGCTTTGTGAGTTTTGACATATCAATATATTGTGGACCATATGGATGCAGACCACCGCCCCTAAATCCATTTTTAATGCAGTCCGTCGTTATATTCTTTAACGCTTTTTGAAAGACGGGAGCAAAGTTTTCCTTTTTCAACTTGTTTCCCGAATTTTCCATTTTCCACTGGATAACTGCTTTACGATAATATACTTTCAGCGGTCTGAAAAGAGATATGTCCATAGGCTGCAGAATGTGGGTCGAGTTAGGGTACAAGGCTATAATTTCTATGTCATTTTCAGAGCAGAACTTGGACAGATGAAGTGTAAGATGCGATCTATGACCATCCACAAAAAACAAAATTGGTTTCTGGATGCCTTTTACAATCAGCCAAGGATTAAAAATTGTAGTCACAAACTCGTAGAAGGTCTCACCAGTCATCCAACCGGTCTCCGACTTTCCTATGCCCCATTCTCCTGGCACACTGCTAGAAATTCTGTCCGGGACTCGATCATAGGCGAAAACAATCATGGGTGGTGCTAGTGTACCCGCAGCATTTGCAGTCAACAAGACGGTTAAATTTTCTTTTTCATCGCCACTTGCCGCATAAACATGCTTTTCCCCTCGTCTAACAAGCACTCGTCCAGGTTTTGGCGCAAGAAAAAAGGCGCTCTCATCTGCATTAAAAACTCGGCTTGGCTCTTTCAGAGCTTCAAGCAATCCCTTTTCGGCCAAATATTCATCCACTTCTTTGAACCAGTTGTTTATTTGCTCTTCTGTCACTTCATTGCGTGCTGCACTGAGGTTTTCGGCCGTTCTTTCTGCTAATATCGGATGTCTTTTAATAAAAGAAGAAAACCATTTCTTCCCTGGCCTGTTTGCTGTAAAAGGAGTAGATTTACGTTGCACCGTAACTATTCGCTGGACGCTATCTAAAAGTTGTTCTCTAGTGATAGGAAATCGTCTTTCGGCACTTGCTATTGCCCATTTCACAAGCAAATCTTCTTCTACTGTTGTCAAGACTGTACTAGGCCCCATAGTGCATACCATGGGGCTCTTACCGGAGATTTTATTGTGGAGAGTAATTCTCGGCACTCCAAATCGCTTAGCTGCTGCAGATACTGATTGTCCTTCCTTTCGCACTGCCTCAATGGCGTGAGCCATTTGTTCAGGCTTATAATCTTTTTTAGGCGCCATCTAACCAAACAAGAAATCAAATTAGATAGTTCTTACAATCTACGAGCGCGTGGTCCTAGGTCGTGTGAAGATGTATCTGTAGGTATACATATAACTAAAAATAAAGGTAACACGCGCTTATGAATTGCAAAAAACCATACAATTATAACATGGTGTCCATTATTGGTAAACGTGCTTTGATTATTATTTTTTAAAGACATATGATATCAGGCGATGTTCAAGAGGTAATACTATTTATAATTTACTCTTCAGTACAATTAAATAACCATGGACACGTGTCCATAAATGTGTTTTATGTCCATTAATGGATCCAGTAATGGACACCCCCCTAAAATACTTTTAAATTATCGAGTAACATAACCTCTTTCTCGAATATATGCCTAATACTATAAGATAAACATAAAATCAAAGCGTGTCCATATATCTATCTAAAAAACAAAGACATTGTGAACAAAAACAATGACTAACCTGCTTAACGATTCCTTTAAGAAATCCGGATAAAATTTGAAAAACTCCAGAGCACAATTTCTTCAACTCGCCATTTTGAAACAAAATGGCCGAAATTAATTTTCTCTGTCAATATGACAGAGGGATGTTGGCTGTCTATGTCTAAAGTGCTGCCATTTCTAGAAAACCATTTCTACCCTTATTATAAGGTTGATAAGTTTTTTTCGTCCATTATTGGTGCCATGTCCATTACCGGCGCCACCACGTTACTAAAGTAACCAAAAATGATGAATCAATCATTTTAAGAAGCATCAACTTAAGAGCGTTATTAGAAGCAATAACGCTTTTTGAGGAAAATTATAATCTTTCAACCATTTTCAGAATCAAATTTCTCAATCAGAATCAACAAACGCGTCGAGCACAATAGTGGTGGTGGTGTACTCGTACAAGTTATAACTTGTTCAATCATGCATTAGCGAAGATTGTCAAAAAATATTCAATAATAAATAATAGACCATGTCGGATTACAGGGGGTGCCGGATTAGACAGGGGCCGGATTAGCAAGGGTGCACTGTATTATGAACAAGTTTTTTTTTAAATGAAGTGATAAAGGAACTTCGGTCCGCCTGATGGTAAGTGATTACTGCAGTCCATGGACACCTTTCATCAGCTTCAATTAAAGAAGGCTACAGATGCGTTGTCACCCCTAAGGTGGCCTGTCTGTAATAATTATACTATTTCTCTATACTAAGGGCGCAACATAGCAGGCACTGTCATTACCATTTTTTCGTACCTAGTTTTCGTCCATTCGGGTCCCACAATTAGCTAGGGAAATATTCGGTGAACCCCGGCAGAGCCCCGCATACTGAGGGAAGAGCTAAAATACTACCCAAATCGCCCTGATCTCGGGTAGGTAGCGTTTGCGACTGGACTCCCCCTCAGCCATGCATCCATCGGCATGGTACGCTTGACACCTTGGATTGGGTTAGGATAGGAAAAATGGCTGTAGAAAGATAGTTAAGAGGCGGTACTTACACAGAAGGACCCCTAGACAGAAAAAAAGGCCTAGCGTCTCAACCTAGATGGTTATAAGCATGAAGGTTAGAGAACAAGATAACGATCGCCGTAGAAAATAGTGTCCCAGAAATATGAACACTATAAGTGAGGCGCTGCGATCGCTAAGTTCGGTCAATAAAAGTCATTTTCAGTCTATTTTTCCGATCTGATGCTAAACCACTTGCACATCCACGCACTTTTTCAATTTTTTTAATTTCATTTCTCAATTTTTTAATGTTTCTTTTTCTCAAAAATTATAAAATTACGGAGCATAAAAATTTTCTCGCCAATGCCGCGGAGAAAATTTGTACATTATTCAACTAACTTCATTTAATTGCACTCATAAACAGCTAACTTCGCAGTCACTACTCACCGACGTCAGCGCCGCTATAAATTTTCAAGGACAGTAGTGATCGTTCTCCTGTTCTCTAACCTTCATGGTATCATGGTTATAAGCTTATACGCGTCCATAGATAAATATTAAGGAAGCTTTTGAGGACACTCAAATGTTAGATAGGTGATAGGTTATGAACTACTTACAAATAAATATTGACACATTGTAATCTTTTGGGTAAATGTTGTGTTCGCATTACAAAATATGTATTATATAAAATCGTTTGTTGATACATACCTACTTTTATTATATTGTAACAATAAAAATCAATAAAAATAGCCGCGTGGTGACGGCGTAAGAGATTTCATTCCCCAATACTCCGTGGGTATCGTTAGAGTGAAATAAAATAAGAGTTGGGCGGCAGAATCTGTTAAAACTTAAAATAGGCAATGAGAAACTGCGGTTGCCAACCGCCTCCCAAGCGTGGCAACTGTGGCACGTATGCAAGTATGGAGGAGCAATGGACTTTTGATAAGCTGTGATTGATCATAAAAAATCAATTAAGAAAATCATGTTATCTTTGATAATACTTGCGTTTCTCGCTTACGTTCGTCTGCGCCGCAGCGTGCCAAACACATGACCCTGGCTTGTTGGCCCGCAAAACCGCGGTTTTGCGATGATCCAGCAACAAGGCTTACCGGCGATCCACTAAAACCGACGTAAAGCTCGCCCGTCGGTCAGGGCCTGAAGTGTTTATGAATGTGTTAAAAATAATTAAGACGGAGTAAGTCGCATTTTTACCAAATTATCATACGTATATTTAGGTGGAAATCACTTCAAAGTAATAATTAACAATGAGTTATAAATAATGATAATACCAATCTCAAATATAAAACTATATTGTAGATATAGGTGAAACATTTGAGAACGACGGTAAACCGAACAGTTCAGGCTGAAAGTCTTCCATTGAATTCAATATAAGCGTCGCTTCGGGCGCTAGCGTGCGATCTAAACGCGGATCGGGAACCATCACGACTTGCATACCAGCTGAATGGGCAGCTCTTACGCCATTTATCGAATCCTCGAATACTAAAACCTAGAATGTGAGAGTAAAATAATTACAGTCCTGTAGGATTATTTTTCAGCGACCACATTACTACGTATTCTGTATTATCATTCTATGAAAAAACCCCCAAGGAATGTTACAAAGCACGGTCCTGGGCCACCTGTATCCATCATCTTCCTGCATGTCTTACCAGGTCGTCACTCCATCTAGTGGGAGGTCGTCCTACACTTCGCCTACCGGTATAAGGCTGCTCGAGAAGTACCGAACTAACAACCGATGGGGAAAAAAGATTCCCCATCGGTTGTTAGTTACAAAGCTAAATGGCCGGCCCTTTGCCACTTTAACTTACTAATCCGTTGGACTATGTCGGTTACTCTGGTTCTACTGCGACTATCTTCATTCCTAAGTTAATCACGCAGAGAAACAGCGATTATAGCCCTCTATATAGCTCGCTAAGTGCTTGAGCTTCCTCATATGTTCAGTAGTGAAGGACCACGTCTCAGATCCATAATTCATCACTGGCCACACGCTGAAACACACACTGGTTGTATAAACGAGATTATACAACCAGTACAACAGGCACTGGTTGTATAATCTCGTTTTCAGGTTTAAGGCTATTATAATACCTGACGAGATATGTCGTAATTTCCAAAACGCTGCCCAGCCGAGTTGGATCCGTCGATTGAACTCTCGGTCGAAGTTGAACTTACCTAGTCGGACTATTTGTCCCAGGTAAACATACTCGTCAACAACTTCGAACATAGTGCTCCCAACAACTACCAGCCTAGGTGTGACATGGACGTTACACATGAACTTTGTTTTGTCCATGTTCATCTTAAGACCTATCCGTTGGGAGGCACTATTGAGTTCATTGCGTATAGTGCTTAGGTTCTCCAACGACTCTGCTATAAGGACTACATTGTTGGCAAATCGAAGTTGAGTGATGTACTCGCCATTGATGTTTACCGTATCCTTTCCAACCTAGTATCTTGAAAACGTCTTCCAATGCAGCGGTGAAGAGATTCGGGGATATAAACGTCACCCTGTCTTTCACCTATCTGCAGTTGGATAGGTTTCGTGTCTGATTATGTACTCGGATAGCTACTATAGCCCTACTGTTCAAACACTTCAGCACTTCGATATACCGACAGTCCACTTGGCACCGCTGATGAGACTGCAGCACCGCCCAAATTTTGATAGAAATATAGGCTTTCTCATAGTCCACATACGCAAGGTTTAAAATAGTCGCATCAGTAGCATCAAGACATCGTGGTAGATTGTACTCCTCGGTCTTCTGTACAATTTTCTGAGGGGTATGTATGTGGTCTATGGTGCTAAAGAGGAAAAAAAATCGGAAACCGGCTTGTTCGGGAGGATGGAAGTCGTCGAGTCTGCGTGGGGGACTATTCGTAACGACTCTCGAAAACAGCACGTAGGCGCGGTTTATAAGGGAAATCGGTCTGTAATTCTTCAAGAGAGCGATGTCGCCTTTCTTGAAGAACAAGACCACCGCACTTTTGCTCCACGTCTCCGGAACTGTGCCACCATGGAAGACAAAATTAAATAGCTACTCAAATCTTTTATTTCAGATATTAGCTCCGCTAAAATTTCATCCCTGCCCGGACACTTGGCATTTTTTAGGTCCTGGAGGTTGGAGAGCCATTCTAATCTCGCTCAGACATCCGTGATATCATCGGAATAGTGTCGGATAAGCCTTGCTCTTGGATCGTTACTCAGACTAGTGTGTGGTTTCAAATATAACGTGTACAGCTGCCCATGGAATCTCTTAATCACACTCAAGATTTCAGGTGTCCCGGAAACGACGCTGCTACATTCGATTTCAGTTTCGATAATTGGCTCTTTTTTTATAGAATAAAGGTTGACAAACGAGCACACAGTCCACCTGATGGTAAGTGAATGGTGTGGCCCATAGACATCTGGGTATATTTAACTTCGATTAAGAATCAAAATGCAGATGCGTTGTCACCCCTAAGGACTAGGACGGAATGCCTTTATTCCAGTAAAACGGGTCTCCGGTTTCTCTCACATACGAAACTCACCACCATATCACACTCACCATACGAAATACAGCAGCATTAAGCTCTTATTTTACGCTGGTATTCTGTTAGAGCGGGTTCTTTACCCGGTCGAGCCGACCCATTCGTGCTAAAACTATAATATAGCTGCAGCGTGGCTCTACTACTTAATACTTTCTGGCAGACATGTTTCTGGCAAAGGCTTTGGAGCCCTGGTTCTGCGCGATCGCTTCTTCAGTACGAGCTGTATGTGAAAGTACTTCTGAAGGACTTGAAGTACCCGTTTTCCATCCGCTAATATATGTTAAAAAGAAATTCGGTGACTTGGCGTTGAGCACCAAACGCTGCAAATGCACGCGCAAACAGTCTCTCACTCTACGCATCGCTTGAGCGATAGATATCGGAGGTACGCTTCAATGTATTTTCAACGACTCGTAGACAATCACAGGTACATCCAGACCCATACCAGAATTTGTGTTTTGTCAGACAGATAAATGTAGAACTAACCTCTTTATGCCAGATGTAAAATTAACCGGACTATGTTTTAGATTGATTAATTACCTTTTCTGGAGCTGGATTGTCGGGAAACTTGGCAGCAGCTATCTGAAATATATCTGGGTAAGGTTTGCCTCTTTTCACCAAAGGGTCAGAAGAGCCCCAAGTTTTATACTCTAGTAAATCAAATAATTGAGTGTGTTTTTGTACTTTCAAATCGTAATTAACTTTACTACTGCTAGTGGCTAAGCCAATAGGAACCTTGTGCTGGTGTAAATGTCGAATAAGTTTTTCTACTCCTGAAAAAATAATGTATCTTAAACTTGTGGCGAAATAAGATTTAAATGAGACATTAGTCTAATAGTAAAGTATGACGGCTGTAAACTACAAAAATCGGCGGTTCGAATCTGCCATTCGACTATTGTCGTTATGCACCGCCAACACAAGTAATTAAAGCTTACTTGGAGTGGTTAACAGGAGTATTAATAATTTTTTATTACCTTAAAAGTATTCCTGAAAAAAAAAACTAAGTGACTCAATGGTCATCTGTATGACATTATGTTCAAAAAAATGAATGCATAACTTGTTTTAAATTTCTATAATAAATAAAATTAATTAAAACTAATCACTGTTTAATTAAAAATAAAAACAAAATATAAATGTACTATCCGTCTACTATACAAATCTTGTAACCATTTGGTATGAACAAATCAATAAATCTTTAATAAATACATACGGACTTATTTTTTGTTTATTATTAATATATGGAACCATGTAAGAGTTGGTAGAAAAATATATCTAAATCTATTATTTGTAATAAATTAGTGATGTGCAACAAAATGCAGAGTTACAACGCAACAACTATCATTAAGTACTAGAAATCGCGCTATATTAGTTAAAAATTATTAATTACTTGAATATAATATTCATCATTTACTAACCAGGCATTATTTTCGATTCTGGAAACAATTCTTGAAAAACTAATCTAGTTTCCGTTAAAAATTCCTCGACTGTGAGTGGTAGGTCAAGGTCTTCGATAATAGAAGCGGCAAATTCCTCACTTTTTTGACCCATTATTTTACATTTCAAAGCAAATGTAAATTCTTTTCCAAAACGTGATGCTACTTTTTGAAACCCTATCGTATATAAGTCTTCCGTATCTGAAATTACGAGAGTTTGTAGTACAAAATATCCCCTAGAACTTAATTAACTTTCAGAAAACTCACTTAAAATTAAACCATCCATATCAAATAAAACATGTGTTACTGGTTTAAAAGCCATTTATAATCACGACGGAAAAATAAAACTAAAATTACATAACACAGTTACAATCACGTTAAGTATTATAAGTCTCTTCTAAACTTTATAGCTTAAACAGAACTATTATATACGAAATGTTACATCACACAGTTCGGTCTATTATCTAATCTATGGTTTTACGTCACTTGCGTTAAGAAGGTAGTTAGTAGGTACTTCCTTCGTGTTAGATTAATGAGGTCAAAATTAATTAAAGAGCAATTTCAATAATAAATATTTTATTTAAATGAACATCTTTAATACTGTTGATAGCATTGATTGAACTTATTGCGATAGAATATATTATTATCAATGCTTGCAGTCATCACTCATATGTTTACTTATAATGGTACAGCACATAGAATATTATAATACACAATAGAATGGCTGTCAAACTTATTTTGTACGAGATTCCGCGTCGCCGGAGCACACATACAAGCATTACGTCGTATTATCACTACTACAAACCCGATTCGATGTTTTGACAGACTGAGTAAAGAGGAATGCCCACTCTTCATAGACATTTCGGCCATGGGTGCCCACATATAAAAGCATATAGATATGATAATATACAATTAAAGGAATGAAATGGTTAAGAAATTGGTTTAAAAAAAAGTCGGGAATTTTAAGATATAAAAGTTTTTATTTTCACAAATACAGTTTTTTAACAACTAATTTTACCGATGTTATCGCATTTAATTTCTTTGATTTTTAATTCCCGACTTTCGGGTGCTTTCCAGCACACATGGTCATGGGGGATTGAGGTGACTGGTGTACCGAAATCAGTGTTAACTTGGAGTAACTTCAGCTTTTTAATAACTATTTATGCTCCGATCTACGCAGAATGAACTTACTGTCTTGAAGTCTTATTTTAGAGTTTTGATTAATGTTCAAAATCATCATTAAAAAAGTCGTTTAAAATTTAATACATATTTTTTAAGTAAATAGTGTGCAATTTGGTATTTTCTAAATAATTTGCATACGAAATTTGGAAACGATTGTTACGTCAAAACACATCTCGTGTTGACATTTATGCATGTGAATTGACATATTAGCGACATTTTAGTGGCTACACTGGCTGCGCCCATTCCCCCGTTCTATTATGTATGTATTATAGTATTCTACAGTACAGCACATGCACTAATAAAGAATATTAATATTTGTCTGTTTCTGTAAGTCCCACTGGGTGTCATGCTGGTTCTTCCTAGATCTATTTTCCGAAGGGGTGAAAATTACTTTTGTATTTATAATCGAAATTAAATAAATAACCTATTTTTATTTCTATTGAGGATATCCTGATGACATTTGAATAAAGTGTTTTTATCATATCTATTTCTTTTCTGTCGCGCTCTGCATGACTCGGAACGATAGAGCTAGACAACCCAGTGAAACAACTGCAGCTCGTAAAGTCGGCGATTTAATTCTCTGTTACACAACCTATTAGTCCCAACATTAGAAAATTGTTAAATATTTTTAGTTCTTAAGTCGGTTACTTAAGTTTATTTTGAGTAATTTTACGTTTTTATAATAATCAATTTATGAAAAGAAAACCGACTTTGAAATAAGGCAGGATAGCGTAAATAGTAAAGAAATGGCTATAGTGTCATTATGGAGGTAGAAAACCAAAGGCATTTTGGCGGTGGAAGGAAAAGGTAAGATCTCCTACCTAGCAAGTTGTTCGAGCGGCCAGTACTCCCTGTGGTATTTTTTTTTTGCGCCCAGAAGCAAATAAGGGCCACACTCCGGCAAACGGGGGAGGGAGGTGGTGAAAACTCATACATACCACGCAGCCGGCTGCGTGGTTATTTGGGACTCACCGGAGTGCCTCACCCACTAAACACCACCTATGGGAATGGCTATAACTCGTTAAGATCATTCAGCCATATCGAACGCGACCCCCTTGGGAGAAAGCGCGACGATTAGCCGCTGAGAAGTGTGCCTAACTAAGGCAGACTACGATATGAGATGTGGAGGCTCGGCCTGAGCTGCCAGGAGGCAGTTCAGATAGGCGGATGGCTTGTTGAGCAGGTCCGAGAGTGAGTTTCTCGGCCTGCGAACACTATAGCAAGTGGGATGTGGGGCTGCATAGGCAGCTGCCTCGCGAATGAGTTGATTTAGGTATGACTCTAAGGCTTCGAAGAATTTCTCAGAGTGATTTTAGAAATTGCTGGATTTTCGGGAGCTCTAAGTCTCTATGGAGGTCGGCGTTATGGACATAATAGGGTGCGTTCGTAGCCCTACTACTGAAGAGGTTTTGCACTATTTGAAGGTCATTTAATAATCTAGGTGTAGCAAGAGCAAAAATAAGGGGCCGCGTAGGTCATAACAGGTCGTATACGGACCTTATATAGGGCTCGCTTGCTGCGGAGAGACATTTTATTGTGTCTGCCCAACATGCTGTTGAGTCTACCCACGTAAAATCGTGCGATGCGAATTACTTTCTTGATATGGGGCTCGAAAGTGAGCTTCGTATCAGAAGGTGACGCCTAAGTATTTGGATTTCGTTTGCCAGGAGCCAGGGGTTCCTAACATCCTGATTGGCGGAATGGCAGTGAGACGGCGTCGTTTATGTTCGAAGCAAACGGCGGAGCTCTTCTCCGGGTTTACGTCGATACGCCATTTTTGGAACCAAGCTCCTGAGTCACTAACTGACTTTTGGATCTTGTTCCGGATCTGTAGCAGTGAGTTGCCATTGGAGTAAAGGGCTTTATCATCTGCAAAGAGGGCGAGTTTGACACCATTCGACGGGACGGGGGGAATGTCGTTGGTGAATAGAATGTATAAGAGAGGGGCAAGCACAGAACCTTGAGGGACACCGGCTTTGATATGACGACGAGAGAATAGCGTACCTTCGTGTCTGAAACGAAAGGTACGATCCTTCAAATAGGAGGCCACGAGACGGACAAGGCGGTCAGGGAGGCCTAAGTCGTATTATTTGTAGATAAGGCCTTCGTGCAAGACTCTATCAAATGCCTTGCCAATGTCGAAAAAGACCGCGATGGTCTTTTGACGGCGAGGATAAACACCGCTGAGGATATATTCCACTATACGGTGATCTTGTTGGGTGAATTAGCGTTTGGTTCGGAACCCAAATTGGTGAGGGATGACAAGAGGGTCACAGTCTGTGGGAAACAGATGCGCCATCTGTTTCCCACAGACTGCGACCCTCTTGCGCTCATTGCCCTCATGCGCGTGAGGATAACTCATTCGAAAAGTTTACCCATGGCCTTGAGGAGGGTGATGGGAAAGTGATTGGAGGGGATGTGGTAAGGTTTGCCTGGCTTAGGAATGCCGATGACAGTTGCCTCTTTTCAAGAGTCGGGGAAGTAGCTGAATTCGAAGCAGGCGTTGAAGATTATGGCCAATACGGCGATCACCTGCTCCGGAAAATGTTTAAGGGCTTGGTTGGAGATGCCATCCACACCCGGTGCCTTTTTGGGCTTCAGATTGATGATTGATGAAATCTCATCTTTGGACAAAGTGATAGGGTCAGAGGCGGTGAAGGGTGAGTTCCGGCGGCAGACCTTGACCTCCACTTCCTGGATGTGAAAGGGGTCGGTGGGCTGTGAGCTGGAAGAGCATTGCGCGGCGACGCTGTCTGCGAAGCACTCAGCCTTTTCATCCTTCTCGAAGGCGTAAGAGTCGTCGGGACGTGAGAGAGAGGGAAGATGAGTGATAGCGTCTATCCGGAGGGCTCTCGCCATCTGATAGTACGCTGTATGAGAGGGGGAGATATTATCCATGAGATTGCTCTTTTCAAGGTCTCTAAGTTCGAAGTGGCGTGAGCGGAGTTTACGTTGGAGACGGTGGGCCATACGTCTATATTCAGAAGTGGGATAGCGTGCAGTTCTACGGAGAGCACTCTTTTGGCTTTGATCAGGTTGCTAATATCTAGTGGAAGACTATTTTTAGCAACCGGGGACAACCATTTCATTAACCTTAACGAAGTATTTTATAAGGGTGGTGAGATTTTCGACCGCAACTCTAAGGTTGAGGGGAACTCCACTTACTAGAGCAAAGTCTAGCACGTCAGGAGCATGGTCGACATTGTCGGGAAAGTGGGTGACAGCGAGGGGGCTGTAGACAGTCAGGTCGAGAGACTGAGTGATATTCAGCAGCACCTTGCCACTACTAGTAGTAGTGAGGCAGGTCCATTCAGTATGCTTGGAGTTAAAATCTCCAAATATAATGTCTGAATTGCCTAATGCAAGGATGGGTTCCAAATCGCTCTTAACGGGGAGGGTTTCGCTAGAGATATAGCAGGAGGCTATAATGATAGACAGGTGTCCATTCAAGACAATCCTACATATAGTGGCTTCTATATTGGTAAGCGTCCGAGTGGAGAAGTGGGAGCAATGAAGCGACTTCTTGAGTAAATGGCAGTACCGCCGCTTTTGCGGTCGGGTCTGTCATCACATAGAAGAGAATACCTTTTGATAGAGAGGCCTTAGAGAACCTTAGAACTAAGGTGGGTCTCCTGGAAGAAGAGGAGGTCGGCTTCACGATCTCGAAGAAAGAGCCTAAGCTTAGGGAGATTATTACGCAAACCGCAGATATTAAAGGATACAAGCGACAATCCCTTTGGGTTCATACGACCTTGGGATATGGCGAGAGCAGGAGGCTCTGCCATTACGTTGTTTTTATTTCAACGAATTTAAGAGATGGTGATGCTCAACAAGAGCAAGGAGACGGTCCTGAGGGGACCAAGCAGCGCGCAGTTTGCGCGCTAGGATGGCGATCTCCCCTAAGTCGATGCTCGGAATAGTCGTATACACCGTATTCAGGTCATCGGTAGTTGAGGCTTGTGCCTGGTGTGGGGCGGCGGAAGTCCGCGGGGGTTAGCCTTTTTGGGGTTCCAAGGAATAACTGGGGGAGGTGAGGGCTGAGAAAGGCCCATAAAGAGCCTAGAAGGACCCTCAGGTGGCCGATAGAGGCCCTGAGGGAGCCGA